TTATAGGGGGGGGGAAAAATCTTAAATTCTGAAATATTGGATTACAAAAATCTGTTACATAGCTTGGATTTTTAAACAATGAGTTAGAAAAAGCTGAAATAATGATGTCAAGATTGTCTTTTAGGATGTTTCCAGTCTATCCTCAAGATCAAATTCACTGACGTACAAACCCAGCAGTTTTTCATTCACATACTGTTAACACTTTGTTAAGCAGCTTAGCCATGACATCTGGACAGAGGTCCTCAGCCTGCTGGCAGTCATTTATGAAAGCAATGTGTAGACTATCCGAGAAGTCCCTTATTACTCATAAGAGAAACACATCCTGCAAAACATTCCTACAACTGAACTTCAAGACTAAAACAGAAAACGGTTCCAGGCTAATACTGCACTTTTGAGACAAAACAGACTGGGAGCTCAAACGGACAAATGCTATTCCTTGGTAATTCAAATCCAGTCATGTATAGTCCCATTTTTTCCTTCTATATGAGAGAATGTGAGGAGTCTCCTGAGACAACAGCTGTACACTCTCATCTACTTGGAGAAAGCAAGTCTTAGTTGGGCAACTAACAGCTCCTGAAGGCTTTATGCTCCTTAATAGCTGACACTCCTCCAGAAGTTCCTGGGTGGCTCAGATGCCTTTTCTCCATACCATCACCTCAGAGTCGTCATTCCATCAGGCAAATCTTGCCTGTTAATGAGGTACCACAAAGCTCTTTCTAGTCCACTGTCTGATTATTTTATCAGAGTATCCACGTATCCTGGATCCAATAGGTTTTGAAATCCGGTCATCAACATTGTGCTTTTGTGTATGTCTTAATGTGACACCTGCTGGATTCAAGAGATTGGATGAGAATGCCAATTCTCGGTAGCAATGAATAAAACCAAACAAACATGGGTTTGCTCTTCTTGTTGACAAAGCTTAAAAGTGTGATTCAGATGCTCATTGGCAGTCCAGTAAATGGAGTGGAATAAAAATAGTTTTAAGTCTATTATTTTTTTTAGATGCCAGGGGTATGTATTTATCTACCTAACTATCTATCTATTTGCAGGTTTTGCAGCCTCACTTACGACTTTTGAATGCTTGGATTCAATGAAATGAAAATCTCATTCCTCAGGTTCCTTATGAAGATTGACCCCTCCCTCCACTTTCTTTTTTCCTGGGCAGCGGAGTACAGGTTCTGACTCTATTGTTACGTCACAGAAGTCATTGTATTTTATTTTGCAGATTCTATGCAACTCATGTTTTATGACTGACTTCAGTCAGTCCAATATTTTGGATGTGGAAAGCATCAATGATGAGTCTGGAACCCTGGGGAATTTCAGAAGAATCTGCTCCTCTTTCTGCTCTCCTACACTCAAGTATTATAGTGGTGGCTTGCATACTTAATTTGATACCACATAGTGAAAACTGGTAACTAAACTTGGAGAAAAAGAGTAAAGATCAAGACCAAATTATCATGTCTCCATTGTGTGTTAGTTAAGAGTAGGTTATGAGGCATCATTACAATCATACACTGCAAAATTAAATCTCTTTTAATCTGCAAACTCTACATTTCATCCACTCTGTTCTCACCACAGCCATTAAACTCTTATCTAAAGCATAGAACAAAGTTTAGACTTATAACAGAAAAGACAGAAAACAGAAATTTTGTAATACACCACAAGCAAGAATCAGAAAAGCTGAGGACTTATTTTATCACTACATTTAACCTTGAGAACAGTAACTATTACTTTTTAATGTTTCTTTTAAAGAAAAACTAACAAATATATGCTTCATAGATGACAAAATTATTCATTTCTCTATGTTTTACTTTTCTTGTTTAGGGCATTCATAACATTATGGATGATAACTATTAAAAATACATAAAATCAAATTAAATCTCAGTTACATTTAATTCTAGATTAGAAATAACTGAGAGGTTCCTGCAATTGCTCTGTATGACAATATCCAATATTTTAGGAGTATGAGAAATAATTAAGTATAAAGTTTCTGAATAATTGGTATAATTACTCATCTATGAACATCATAAAAAAATCAGCAATGGAATATGTAGGAAAAATGTGCTTCTCCACGGAGACAGAGAAAGACAGCAAATCTCTCAGTAATTGCCTTTATAAAACAAAATCATCCGTATCAAGAGGCAGGTTATTTAAGCTAAGATAGCAATCTGAGTTAATGGTCTTCAAAATAACATTTTTAAACTTAAGGCAATTATCAGCTGCAAAAAAAAAAAAAAGAAAAATATGAAAAAAAACCTGTCTGAATTTACAAATCTTTACATATTTTGAGGGCCTCCTCTGGCATGAACTTCATTCAGCACCCATTGTTGCTGCAAATAGAGCATTGATTTTGCAGACAATGCACAGCTAGAGCCAAGGCAGGTACCCTGAGGATCCCACTGAAATAACATGTGAAATAGAGATGAATATGCATAAGTCTGCCTATTTTTTTGCTGCCATCATCCAAAAAGGAGAGCTAAAGAAAGGCTGTAATTCCACAGCAGTGAGGTCATCAGGAGGTAGCAACAGCTAGAAGTGAAAGAGTGAGAGATTTCAAGAAAATAAGGGTCTCCCAGACATCAAAATATCCCTTAACAGCTCTGCATATCTGACTTAATTGTATAGTTTAAGTGTGTTTTATAACATTTTAATGCTGCTGTGCTTGATTTTCACCAATGACCAATAACAGCTGAAATGCCAGCATTGGCTTTTGTTATCTCTAACTGACCATGTTACAGTTCTGGATATTGTTTCCTCATCCAGTTAGACTGTCTCTGACTCTGGATGACATTCCTCTGACAGATCCCTGAACACCTCCCTCAGAGGCTAGGGAACAACTGCACAAGATACCTCCTGCCATACTTTAAGTTTTACCTCCTCCAGCGACACACAGTAGTGACCACGTGTGGATTCACAGTGTGTTGAAAGGAAATGGGTTATTTTAAGCCATTTTCAGCCAGTCAGTCTGGCTAATCTGTTAACTCTGCACTGAAGGAACTAGTACAAGTCCCACTTGAGTGTGGAGCACTATATGAGGGTCAAACAGTTAATATCGTTATTTGAGATCTTTTGCCATCACTCTTAATATCTAAATCACCTACAAAATGAAACATGGAAGGATGTTTTTGGTTTTGAAAATTTTAAGATTCTTTATCAGATGACAACCACATTACCTTACACTTTTTTTATTTTTTTTTAACTCTCATACTCTTAAACTGAACACAAGAGAAAAATATCATGGCAAACTGTTTGTCTTATTCTTCTGTATTCCCCGTGAAATAGTGATCTGAAGTGTCTTTGCTTTTTTTCCTCATACATTGCTAGCTGTGCATTTGGAACAAACTCTGTTCTGCTTTGTTATTTCAGACCAACATTTAGAAATGTAATTTAGAACTTAAAAGTGTCCATAATAAGAATACGGATCTTGTACACTTGTTGGAAAGAGAGATGTTTCTTAGCCACTTGAGAGCTTAGTGTGCCTCCAGTCTAATTCTACAACAGTTTAATAAAAAAATAAAGGGTATGAATCTACTAGAACCTTATTTAAGCAAAGCCCTTAAGCATATTAAGTATTTAAAACATTGAGACCAAACGTGCTTAAGTGCTTTGCTGTATTCAAGTCATAACGATTATTACAGTAATTAGTGTATGCTCAGTTATATCTTATGAGTGCATGCATTTAGTGGCTATTGAATAAACTGATTAATAACATTTTCAGTAAGAAAAGGAAATACAGTTCTCTTTAATATAGTGAAAATATGTTTTACTGTAAAAAAAAATCCCTCCTCATGTAATAAAGTCGGTATAACCATTGGTATGGGTATGTTTTTTTCTATGCGTATCCCTGTATATGTTTAATAATAATTGACAGAAAATCTGACCTGTGAGAGGATTTGGAAATTCTCTAAGTGTTTTTCTTTTCTGGAAATTTGTTGGAACAGCATTGCTTTGAGGAAACACCTCAAACAGAAAACAAGTAAGTTTTCAAACGCAATGTCTGTTCTAGTTTTTGACTTCTGGTCTGAGTGTCCAGGCTTCATGGGTCTTGGACCATCCCTCTATTTTGACTGTTGTTGTGACTCTGAGTTCTTTCAGAGTGTTCTCCTCCAGACTGGAACCCAGGATCATTGAGATCCCGTCTCGTGCACACATCACAGATACAGAGCTGGAAAATGTCTAAGTTTCAGGTGGCACTTAATTCCTCATGGCTTGAGATCATTTTCTTCATGTTGGAAGCTTCCTTTTTCGTCACCTTCTAAGACTATCTTTAACCCTGAAACTGCCTGTTATTACAAATTTGCAGAGGGAAGGAAAGGAAATGCCTTTTAATTGTAAGTTTAAGACGTCCTGATTTTAATTCCTCTTTCAAATATTTCTCCCAAGTTTCTCATATAATCAGATTTGTATTTTGGCTTTAACAGTGACAGCACAGGAGCATGAATCAGCTTTTATTTTTTGTCTTTATTATTTTTCCTGAGCATTCATAAATTAGGTAGACATTGTAATTTCTTTTACTGATTTAATAAACTGTTTTCCTTATTTAGTCCGTGATACACAAGACTCTGAAGCACATCTGGCTTTGTTCTCACTAGTATACTTTGTTAAAGTCTCATTTATGTATTGTTTTCTTAAATTATGACTTCAGTGGCAAGTTAGGAGTCAAGAACTTAAAATTCAGTTGTAAGCAGGCTATTTAAAATACGGATTTTGAAATTGCCATTTGAGAGTTAGCTGATAGTATTTCCTTCCTTTCTGAAACCTAATCCCTAATAAATTAAACTGGTCAATATATAACATATTGAGGCAGTTCTCACTAGTCTATTATGCAAAAATTTGCAAGCATATATATGTTTGAGAGGTTGCATTAAGAGATTGTAAGATTCTCAGTAGGGTTTATGGACAATATCAATTTACTTGGTGTATGTCGGTGTGCTTTATAAAATAGCAAAAGACTACAATATTGTTGTAAATATGTTGAAATCTCAGTTTTGTACAATACATCATGCTTAGAAACTATATTTATTTGCAAATGTATCAGTCCAATTAATCTCAAGTAGGAAAAAATCACAATCAAGAAACAGCAATTGCAAAAAAGACACAGTTATGTTATCATCTTGATGATTTTCCATAGTATATTTTCACACAAGTATGATTTTAGATTTAAATAAGATAACCATAACGCACAGTTACCTATAAACTAAATATACATTGTTTTCTTCTGCTGCATCAGTAATATGAACTTCTCTTGAGTATGTATGGTCTTCTAGCTTTGTTGACATGTAGCTGCCGTTTCAGAATATAGGGATTTTTTCTTTTCATTATTTCCTTTTCTTGGCTTGAGTTCTCTAGATCAAAAGAATCTTGCTGAAGTAACTGTAGGATGCAAGACAAGATACAGTGTTATCAGCTTTTTTTGGTAATGAGAATTACCAATTCCTAGTAAGTTTTATAAAACTCTAAAACATCTGCCAGCAATAAAAATATTTACCATAGTAGTTGTGGGTTTAGGAAAAAAAAAAAAAAGGAAGGGAAAAGAAAGCTCAAAACTCAAGACACAAAATTAAGATCAGGCTAAAGATGAGCTGAATCCTACAGAGGTGATACTTAAATTCCACTGAAACAGATGAGATAATTGGTTTTGCCTAGAGAGAAAAGCTGGAACGTCCTCCTTAGACCAAAACTCAACTTGACTGAAAACTTCCTAGTGATTGTCACTCTGTAATCATTCATTTAGGCTAAACACCTCCTAAAACACCCACTGCTTGCTGGTTTCAGCTTTCAAGCAATATTTTTATCTGCAACTTCCTACAGCTAAAAAATCAAAATGTGTAATAAACAAATGAGAAATGAAATAAAGCGCAAGAAAGCCAAAATTTTGTCAGTCAAAATTTCTTATATAACCGTGGTTTGAGTTTTACTTGGAGTTTTTAAAGTTATTTTTTTCAGATTTGTTCTTGCTTTATCTGTTAAGATTTCATCCATTCTCTTAACACATTCTTCCATGCTCAAGTACTCAAGTACTGTCTAGCTGAAAGGCATTAAACTGAAAATGTTTTTATGCTCACCTTAGTATTTCCCTAAGCAATCAAACTCTGTTACTCAATTAATAAATGAGTGCTCATCTAAATTCTGTTGAAATGAATGGAAAGACTCTCATGGTTTCAACAGACTTTGGAGTCAACCCTGGTTGAATAAGAGCATAAGAACTTCTTTCATTACATAAATTGTTTATTTCTAGCCTTTTTCAATTCTTCTCCCTCTGGCTCTATTCCGTCCTCTTTTATGGTGTTTTAGAAACCTCTGCACTGCATAAGTGTGTTCCTAAGCTGAGAGAGGAATATTTTTTTTTTAATTTCACATGCAGTAGTGTCAGGAGTGATGGTTCCCAGCCACCACAAGAGGTGATGCAACTGCAAAGTAAGGAACTGTGGCTAAGTCATATAGGCTATCGCACATAGTCAGTTCCACAGTAGCTCCTTTTCAGCAATAAATGGGGTGAAGAGAGTCCTTAGAAATCTCTGGTTCTCAAAGATGTTGCAGTTTTATGTTGACCACCCCAGCTAATATGAAGGATTGCGAATAAGTCTGCAAATACAGAGCTGTGAGGCTCAAGATTCAACCAGATTGTCCATGAACCTGTGATAGCTGAAAAAATTGGGTTTACTGGCAAGTGGGTAGTGACACCAAGATGCCTTTTTTCACTACCCAAAGCAACTTTTAGTGTAATATATAACAACGCCAGTGGATTGGGCCAGGTGTGCCTCTGTGTGATCACTGCACTAAGATAAATATCACAAATGGACTATAAAAAGTCATTATTTAAGAGTAGCAATCCTCATACAATCACGATGTCGACTTTCAGGGCTCTCTTTAGGTGTGGGGAAGCGAAAAGCAAGAGCTCCCTTGCTACTGGTTTCCTAGCAATGATAAGAAGCCCAGAGCACCTGGTAAAATTACACGTACACAGGGGCATGTGTCCATGCATTTTGAATCCAGTTTGCCTTAGGGTCTTAAAAGGATTTTCAGAAACTGCCTACATTTAGTTATGTCCCAATAAATCTGCAGTAACTTCACGTCTGTAAAGCAGATACTAATTTTGTGTTCTGGCATAGAGCTCACTTTCATGTGTTTGTCTCGTTCCTTGGAAGGGCTACAAAGAGTGGAGAAAGTATGTAGTTAAGAACAGTTCTCATTTATCCATAGGTCATTACAAAAATAAAGACAGCTCATCAGAAACTACATTAATTCATTACTCTTTCAATAAAAGGCATTTTAGAGGTATTAGAGAATATTAAAAAGGAAAGGAAAGCTCGGATAACGTAATGGCAGTCACATGGATATGGATTTTAAAACATCACTACAAACAGAGCCTGAGAGTTTAACATCAGTTGAAATACGAATTTTTGACAGTTTATTTTACCTCCCAATGCTGAAAGGCTCTGCTGTGGCAAACTTTTTGGAGTTGATATACTGTCAGCATTGCTTCCAAGCTGAAGCCATCCAGATCAGCAGGGAACTGTCTTCCTGAAACGAGATCCTCTTCATCCACCTCTACTGCTTCCCCCACTTGGTTGTTTATGTTGTTGACAAGATTGCAGACATTTAGCAAGGTCATTTTCCAGTAAGGAAGTTTTGCTCTGTTAATCTGAAAATACAAATACTATTTAATATAGCAATTTTTGTTTTGCTTTTTAGTAATAATGTGTGACATTCAAACATTTTGGTAGGAACAAGTTGTGTGTTTGAAGTACTTTTCATCTGCTCAACTTTTAGAGAATAATTAGAGAGTCCTGAAATTAGGACAACTCATTTATTAAACAGGCCAAGTCTGCTTCCCCACAGCCTTACCCCCCAGGTAGATATACACAATGAAAAACTAAACTGCTACCAAACCAGAATGGTAGCATTTCATAGTCATTCTGCACAGGTACAAACAAAAACACAGATGGAAATTCATATAATATAAATTCGCAGGTGTAAATCAGGAAAATGAGTCAAACCCACTGGATAAATTCCCAGTACTGGAATTCATGGTGGATGCCTGTGGTTAACTAGACACTCCTCCTCAGTTCAGAACAAATATAAGTCATTTCAGAATTCCCTGAGAAAAGGAATGGAGTCCCTGCTTCAGGGCAAGCTGCCTGATGAGGCTGGGTCTGAAGTTACGGAATCTGTAAGCCCCAGGAGTTTTGGATGCTAGAGTCATGAGCTTGGGAGATGTGAACTGAAGGTCTACAGGCTTAGATGAAGACAGAGCAAAGATGAAACAGAGCTGTGCAAACAAAATATTCCTGATTTGGTAATTGGATTGAAAAACTCAGGACAACTGTATTTAGGTGGTCCATCATGGACCTGTTTAGAGATGTTACAGAAAGACAGAAATAGAGAAATTTCACCATGGCTTGTCTCCACTTTTGCTTGCTCCAGTATCTCACATTATTTAGGAGCTATTTAACTTTTAAGCCCTTTTTAAGAAATTTTGAGAAATATAATTTTTACTTTTCTACTGGTACTGTTCTTTCCAAGCAGTTGTGGCAGTAGTCTTCTTTAGTTTTGATTATCAATAGAAAAAAAGTAAGTGAAAAAACTAATTCCTACTTCATTCACTGCTTTTCATGTCTTTGTCAGTTTCTTGGTTCGCCCACTACTAGTTATTTCTTTCAAATTGTATTGCTTTTTGTGGTGAGTATAGAAATTAGTTTCCTTAAACTAGAACTGGTGACACAGCAATCTCCAATCAAAAGCCAAACAGCAAATTCCTATTTATTACTGGCAAGGGCTTCCTTGCTGTGCACATTAAGATTACACGTTGCCTATGAACTGAAATATAGTTGCTTCTTTTCCTGGATGTACCAAGTTAAGTATAGGTATTATATTAACACAGATGTTGCCTCCTACATACTGACAGCATTAATTAAGAGTGTGGATGCAGTGCTTACTTAGACAAACATCAGGCAATCACATAATCTGCTGTTTCTTTAAAGCACCTTTCTAACAAAGGGGCACTGTATACAAGATTTATGCATATTCATGATACTTTGCTACTTTTTTGACGGAAAAGAAAGAAAATGGAGAGGAGCGAGGAAGAAACCAGGAAAGCTGGCATCACTATTAGCATTAGTTACAAAAAATTCCCTTTTGGCCATAATCATTACTGCAATATGCATCTGTTATATGCATGCCTTTCAAAATGAGAATAATTTAACCCTTTCATAAAATCACTATGTGTTCTCAGATTCCTGACAGGGATCAGAAAGGGAAAAAAAAAAAGAGTATTTTCTTTTGAGGCTAAAAAGAAAACAAATCTCAAATCTTATTCAAAAGCTTGAAATTGGTGCTGCATTGTTTACTTAGAGCTCATCTGATGTTCGATCTAGGTGCGTTAATTAGTCTATTGAATTATTTGAAAAGATGTGACAAGTTCAAAATAAAAACTATCCTTCTTGCAGAATGTCTAATTAACAGAAGTTAAACTAGCAAAAAGAGTACGTGTCCACTGCAATTTCAAAATCTTCTTTGGTCTGTTTTAAAATATTTGTGAAATATAAAAACATGGAGCTTTCCACAACAAATAAGGAGGGTTTTCCAGTGTAATTCTCTCTACTGGGTATATGAAAGAAATGTGAGCTAGCACTACAACAGCTAAATTGCAATGAAGAATGAAATCTAGGAGCAGTGCTAAGTGAGCAAGTGAGAATTCTGAGTTAAAAAAAACCCACAAAATATTCCAGTGGATGGGAACAGAAGAGAAAAGGATAGGGAAATTTGTTATGCTTTCTTGCATAATTTATTGAATCTTTTTGATCTAAAGTTACTACTTTATGTTAGCCTGATGCATGTCTATATTTATAGGAACCTTTCTCTGTATATTAGTAAAATACTAAAATAGCAGACTTCATCAGGTGAAATGGATCTTAGCTGCTACTTATGAGATTACGGAAAAAAAAATGCAGTGCTGTCTGCAAGCATACTTTGTTTGTTAAGGGAGTCCAATTCCCATCAATATCACACATAAATCACCTCAAAGTACTACTCTACTCTACTCTACTCTTCTCTACTCTACTCTACTTCACTATTACAGCAAGTATTGTAATCAGACAGCTTTGTTTTATAGGTTATAGGAAATCTCTGAGGTGGTTATCCTAAAAAAATATGTGAAAATACAGTTTAAGATGACCATAATCCAAATGTTCAGGTACATTTCCAGTGTGTGATATATTTTTCACACAGGTCTAAGGAATACCAACTACAGTTGTTCAAGATGCATTTTGGAAAACACCTATATAAAAGATCAAGGAACACATATCTGCCAAGATGGAACTAATTTTTTTAAGATAAATCTGAAAAATCTGGAAGTGATCTGAAGGAACGAAAGAGACTGCAGTATGAATCAGAATTGAAAAGTGATTAATGCTGAAGTGAACATGATGTATGCATTTCCATTGTTGAACATGCTTGTGAAATAAGACTCAGATATGTTTTCCCACACCTCATGTATCTTGAAAGAGAATTTTAAGTCATCTAAGAAACTGAAATAAGCTTGAGAATATTTCCTTCTTTGACAACTGACTTGTCATACAAAAGATTAAAGAGAATCCCAAGTTATAACTTACATGATATCTTTTTCTTTTCATTTCTGGTTGAATGATACCCCTAATAGTTTGTTTAGGGTACTTCTTATGTTATAATACATGCCTCTCAAATGCTATTTTTTGTAGAAAAAGAAAGATAAGTTCTCTGCTTTTTATATTCTCATCTTCATCTAGTGAAAGCAGATGAAAAACAAATTCTTAACCAAGTAAAACCCAAGGCAATGTAGAATCTCTAGGCTTTCTGTTCGGAATAGTAGTTGAATTTTGTCCAGAATGTAACCATAGAAATAATACTACTACTCTCTATCTTCAAGCAGATATGGTATTGAGTTCTGTTACAGTCGAAGTTCTTCTTCTTACTAATGCTTGTAAATGTAATGAATTTTTATGCGTGACTGAGTCAGGAAGTCAGTAACTCCCGAGCAGCTGACAAGGAGGCTAAACTGTATGGGCACATACAGTCAGCAACAGGCACCCTCAAACAGTAAGAAGCTCAGAAGGTCCAAGACTCCAGAAAATTAATGTGAGTGGGGATGCCAAAGGTGGAGTATATTTTAGTGATTATATATTCTTCAAGGAAACACTTTTTTTTTCCTCTTTTTTTTTCCTTTTTTTTTTCCTTTAACTAACATCGTCTCAATCTTGTTTGAGTTCAGAACATTCTTCATGCAAGTGGTGGTTTCAGGCAAGCATTTAGGAAGCTGGGAATAGAGCTATCTATTTCATACAAATGAGAGACAGCAGACAACTGCTCACATATTTGTGACACTACAGGTTGTGTTGTCTTACCAGATCTTCCAAATGGCTCGTTGGATTTTATCTTAGAGGAAAGACAGATAAAATATTTTAGGGACTTGTTTGATCCCTGTATCTTCTTTGAGATGTAACGGCAGGGAAGGGTGATAAGCGGTATTAAATATTGAAGACAAGTAGTAATAAGCATGGACACACTTCTTTAAAGATGGAGAGTGATTCAGCCTATAGATGACCTTAAAGAGCAGTTTGAAAAGGGTCAGTGGACATTTGACAGCAGTCTGTAAAGTCAAAAGCATATGGTAACTCTTTCCATAATATTGGATAGACTACTAAATGTTGCAAAAGGTGTATGCTTAAACTCTAGCTGTAGTCTTGATACTATACCTCACAAGTTCCTACTTAGGAATATTTTTTTATCAATTAGTAGAACCACAAGTGATAATCCACTTCGCTGCATTTTTCGATCTGAGCTTTCATAAATAATTTCTTTCTTTTTTTTTCTTCCTCCATCTTAATGCTATTTAAATTGTCTGGATAACGCTTGCTGCTTATTACCAAGTCAGCGTCAAAGGCAGTTCATACAATTTAACAGTAATTGCCCTCAACTGGAACTGGATCTCAGGCACAATACAAGACAGTTCTTACACATATCATCCTTAAATTTCTCTCTCACACCAGAACCATACTTGTGTTATAATGAAGGTTAAAAGCTAGCAGAAGACAACAGGAAAAAAAAAAAAAAAGAATTTGTAACTTCTTTAATGAATGGAATAGTGGCATACCTCTTGTAGAAGCATTTATGCACACTTTTTAGCAGTTCCATCATGCCTTACTTAGATGTCAATAGACAATACATATTGAACTAATGAATTCTAGATGGTGATTTCAGGCAGTATAATGTAGAATTAAAGCAGTGTCACCAACATGCATCTACTGCTTCTGTCAATTTCATGTGTCACTTGACTTACGGTATAAGCCATAAGAAAATTCAGCAGCAACCTACATGATGTAAAACAACATACAAGAGTATTTTAGCAAACATCATTACACTACCAACTGATGCACTATATTTGTGCATTTTTAGTCACCTGAGATTGTGCTCTGTGCTGAGAGGGAGGAAAAGAAGGAAGTGGAATTTAGGTTCACAGTTCCACTAAAGTCAGTAGCACAAATACCAATAGCTGCAGGGTTTCCTCCCAGGGCATACCATGCTTTGCCACACAGAAAAAGAACTATTTTTGTTAGTCACCTACATTTAAATGTCTCAGGAAAAGAATATCTATTAAATCTTTCTGTACCATAGAGAAGTGAGTGGCAAACAGGTTTATTTGGCATCTAAGGTTAACTACCATGCCAGCAAAGAACATGGGAACCTAAGAACTACCAGACCAGATCAAAACAATGTATTTTCTGGCCTCATTTCTTATTTTAGTCTATTCAAAGGATCCTGTGAAAAAGTTCACATATAAGCAAATACAGCAAACACAGAAGTCTTCCAGGCAGGTTTTGTTCTTGACCTTCAACTAGTCATTGGTTTATGAAATGCTTTTTTGGGGGGGAAATTTTACATTTCTCATTTTATTTTCCTTTAATTTTAGCACGACTTGAACTTCATTAGAACAAAGAATTAAAACATTCAACCTTAAGCCTATGGCACTGGTTTCAGGGTTTGTGCTTTAATATGTTGCTAAAGAAATATCAGACATATGTATTTCTTAGATCATTCATGGAAAATAACAGTGTCGAGAAAGTGTTTGTCTATCAGCTTGTTCAATACATATGTACAACACTTGCAGCTTCACCTTGTCAGTATAAGATTGGAACTGAATTTTTGCCTGTTTGTATTAAATAACATGTACATCGCTCACAGTCTGGCAGTCTCTCAAGGAAATGTCACTTATCAAATTAATATTTTCATAGTCATGTCCCCATGTTCCTATACTGACACTATGATTAAACTCCTAAACCAAAATCAGCATATGTATTAACAGTTTCTGCTTTATGACTGTCTTGATTTTATAGGCATATAGGAAAAGTTCTACATAAAAATAACACTTACGGATTTGGCTGAAGGTTAATTTAACTTTCATCAGGCATAATCCTGTTGGAAACACGTTTCCTCATATAAATTTACATCTCTGCACATAACACAGTTTTGACAGTTTAATGAAAGTACCAGTGTTATGAGTGAGAAGCACTTTTAGTGTGTCACATCAACACCTTTAAATTTCCTTTGAACTGGAGAAAACCTTGCACCAAAGTAATGTCCAGCACTGAACTTTTCAGTCTAGACCGTAGGTTATTACTTTGTGCAAAGACTTCTGGGTTTGTAATGAGAACTCATTTGCTCCCTACCCGTCGGCTAAAAGAAGAAAAATAATTACCTTTGATGTGTACATATTGGTCAATAAATCTGCTTCTAACGCTTTCATTTCCTCTTCTGAATCTGGGAATAAACCAGAAACATATGTTTATTATTTCATCATAAATCATGGACATTTCAGAATTTAGATATATCAATGGATTTTGAAAAATGAAGAAACAAAAATCAACCAACCAAATAAAAAACTTAGATAAAAGCACAGTGAAGTCACCTAGAGGGACTGTGGGGATTCTTCAGGTAACAGTAACATTATGTTAAAATGGATACTCACTACGTTCTTAAAGCATGATCAAGTTCATTGAAGTGAATTAAATGATTCATGAATCTCAGTTCAGTGGTAGACAGGCTCCCTAATTTGCAGCCCTTTCAGTAAACAAAACTGCTGTGATATTCTTCATCCAAAATCAGTATGATTTTCATAATCGTGATTTGTCACCTCTGCTTACTTTGGAAGAAGATTTTGGATATTTATTTTCAAAAAATATTTATTTAAGTAGCAGCTAAGTATTTAGGTGCTTACCATAATGGCAGTTATGATTACCTGACAAGATTTTGTCTTGATTATTCTTGGTTAAATTAAGAATACTTATACTGATATGGTGGAATCGAGCTTGACCTTTGTGATACAAGCTCTTGACAATGCATGTACCAAAAGCAAGTCTTCTGACTGAAAGTCTTAGGATTTTTTTTTGCTAATTTAATTGACCTTTGACAACTCAGCAGACTTGCAAGATCTGTAATTTGGTGAAGAAGGTAAAAACTTCTGCAAAGAGAAAAAGTGGCCACAAACTTTTCGGCTTTGTGCTCTACAGAATCAGAAGGAAGATCTGGTGCCTTGAAAATGTAGCATCAATCACAGCTCAAAGACAGGATATACACAGTTAAGTCTCCAGGCAAAACAGAGTTCCACATGGCTTTCAGCTTTTCTGGAATACCAGCAGTCCAAAGCTAAACAGTATGCTTACTTATATTTAAAAAAAAACTAAATCAAAATCTATTCCATATTCATATAAGTCATATTTCACTGTCATTAAAATGATAATTCACATGCTGTTGGCATGTAAAACTCTACCACAGAATCTGTGGATAGATTCTGTCCATGTCTTCATTTTAGGGATCATCACCATGTTGTGTCACTATCTTTCACAGAACATGAGACTGTAAAGGACCTTTTATACAAATATGTGCTAATCTGTCATAGATTTCTGCTAGCACAGTAAGCCAACCATTATAATGTTCTTAAAAATCAATCATGTTAATAACAAGATCTCACCATCACTGTGTGTCTTCTTTGGGGAATTCTTCGAAACTGTCAATAGTTATTCACCTTCTTCTAATTTCAAGTCTAATTTGTTTCTAATTACAAATTTAGTAATGGTTTGTATATGACTTCCTTCACTAAAAATGACACCTTTGTATTTGCAGTATTTGCTCAACTGGTATTTTTTGAGAGCTCTTCCTAGCTTAGATTGTTAGGGTGTGCTTACACGGTGATTAGCTAACAAAGGCAAGATAACTGTGCCTTTTGAACATAAACCATTTCCGTGTATTCCCCAACTCATCAGAGCAGTCCTTCTCTGTGCTTGATGGGATGTCAAGATAGCACAGCACAGTACAGTTTGGATCAGAAGCCTCAGTACTTAACTACCTTAATGCTTACCATTAGCTACAGGAAGTAGCTCTCCTATGTTTTTTCATTTTGTTTGTCTTTCATGGCTGAAAAACTTTAGTACCTCATAAAAAGAAAAAAGAGGGCAGATAATATGACCAAGTCTTTTATCTCCTCAGACATTTCCAACAGCTGTGCTCCTGTTAAAAGGAGCTTTTAATGGGAACGTCCATTATTTCCTAAAATGTTGTATTTCGCACTGTCACACCGCTTCTTGTTTCTATTACTCAGGTCATCAAAAATTTCTCTGTGCTATGCCAGTCTTCCTCTGTAGAGATGTGTCTGTTCACCTTTGCATTACCAGCACACTACATTCATTCATTCTTACTTTTTGCATTGAAGCTATTACTGAAAATATTAAATGATTGTAGATTAGTATCACAGTAAGTCATCAGCAACTAGTCTCCAACCTAATGCCTTTCAGCCCCTTCAGCACTACTGGTTGTCAGTGTTAAGTACTTGATCTCTTAACCACTTTACCGTTAGCCAAAGTTCTGCTGGCAGCACGAGATCACCTCAGCTAAATTTCTACTACTGATCGCAGCAGCTCCTGTGAATGGATGAGAGGCGCATGTGTGACAGCATCATGATTTGTGGTGTCCTGGGTCATACCAGCTGAGGACAATGAAAGGACTTGTGTCTGGTTAGCACCACTATAGAGGATGGAAGATAGCTTCCACGCCATGGAAGCTGGAAGATAGCTGCAGACATGGAAGACAGGTAGGTATTAAGGAACATTTTGATGGAGAAAAGAAGTCTGGAGGACATTATTTAGAAGGCTGGTCAAGATTTCTCAAGTGAAGAATAAAGCAAGGCTTGGAGGAGGAGAAGGGAGCACATCCAGGCAATTCAGGAGTGAGAGAGATGAGGAATAAGAACATAAAAACAGTAGGCTCTCAATGTATAAAAAAGTCTGGTTACACACTATTGTTCAAATCAGAGGGAAATTCACACAGTTTGATGTCTTGATTCACTTCTTAATAACAAGAAATATAGCTTCTATTCATATATTCATTCTACAGGAATAGTTACCTTCTAGAGGTTCACGCTTTCTCCTGAGGGCGAACATTTTCAAAAGAAAATTAAAATGACTGATCATGTTCTCTATGACATAACTGTCCATATTGGCTAAAACTGAGTTAGTCCCTCCACAAAAGCTTCTCCATGGTATTTCTCACTTAAACACAATTTCAAATTTTCCAGCAAATAAACCATCATGTCAGTCACACTGAAAATACTCATCATTTGTTTAAAAAGCTTCAAATATATGAGAAAATAATAAATATTAAGCCTTGTCACTAAGATCACCAGTGCACTATAGTATACAGACTGATTATGTTTAAACTGTGATAAAAAGCAGGTATTAGGCGTGTTACATTTTTCTTCTGCAGGGGAATACAAATTGGAAACTTTCACCTACTGTGAGAATTAGGAATCCTAAGTCCTCCTGAATGCTGAAGCTGAAAAATGAAGCTACTTGTAAATTTACTCTTTAAATTCTGTGGAGTTAAAAACTAAAGTAATTTGCAAGTTAGTTAAGACTGGATTTTGAAATTTAGTCTGCCTCATGTCTGTTTGTACACCTGTTTAATCACCACCATACCTATTTTTGGTCATAAACTTAGGGTATAAATGACACGCACTTAGCTGTGTCATTTTCCACAGAAGCAGGCAAAGCATTTTAATATATTGTCCTCTTTTTTCAGGTTTCTAAAGCAATTGCTCTTATAGTAGAAATGCACTTACATTAACCTTCTTCCTACAGTGTGATCTGCATCTGATTCAGTGTTTTTTTGTCATAATTCCAGATCAGTTGCTAGCGATTTTTTCCCCAGAATACTAAAATTGCATTTCTGTCACTAAAAAGTGACTGAAGTGCATATGTATTCAGGCTGATTTGGTTTATGGCAGCTATTCATATGAGTTGCAGAAATCACAATTTCTACGACAGTTTGGAAATATGTGGTACTCAACAAATCACAAACGAGGCAGCACAATCAAGCAGATGGTCTACACTGATTTATATTTCCACTAACTAGCCTACACGAAGTGCCACGGTACGGATGCTGTGAGGAGGACCGGTTTCTATGAAGGGAGAAAGTTACGGGCGCGACACAAAAAATGATGCTGGCCAGCGCCCGTTATCAGCGCCAGCTCCTTGGCGCCTACGGGTTACAGCCGCGGCAGCCCGAAGCGACTTCACCTCCTTTCCTTAGGTGCCTCCCAAGGCTCCGGGAGCGGCTGAGTGCCCACCGTCCGGAGAGACTTCGGGGGAAGGCGGCGAGCCCGCGCTGCGGGGGGCGCCGGCGGGAGCTTACCTGAGCCGAGGCTGCAGGAGGCCAAGGCCAGCAGCACCACGCACATCAGCTGGGCTCTCATCCTTGCCGCGCCGCCCTCTAGAAAGTAAAGTCCATAAATCCTGGGGAGAGACGGAGAGAGAGAGAGACACAGACAGAGAGAGAGAGCCGCGCCGCTCCGCACCCTCAGCACGCGGCTGCAGGCACCAGACGGGGCACCCGGAC